GAATGAATGTGTTAATGCTTGTAATCAGCTCCCTGGGATAAACGGGCTACATTCTCTGACATCTTGTAGAACTAATTATTTTTTAATGTGGCTGCATTTAAATTTTAAATTAGGCCTCAGAGATGAAAGGCCCGCACATTACTGACCACCCATTTATCTAGTACATAGCACTCTTTTCTAAGTTATTGCCCCAGGGAAGCCCATGGCATTAGGGCAGTGATACCAGCATTGTGTATAAACACTAATCTATTATTGTGACCATCACTCTTCTTAGAAGCCAGGTGGTTGATAATGGTGCAGTAGGATGGTCATTGAAGTTTGAGGGTTTATGTGAGAATTGTCAGTGAGTTAGTTTATATCTGGCAAACTTTCAAATAGGATTCTGCTTAGAATTAACTTTAAAAAATAATTTTTAAAAATATTTTATTTATTCATGAGAGACACAGAGAGAGGCAGAGGGAGAAGCAGGCTCCCCTCAGGGACCCTGATGTGGGACTTGATCCCAGGACCCTGGGATCATGACCTGAGCCAAAGGCAGATGCTCAACCATTGAGCCACCCCAGGCATCCCTAAAAAATAATTTAAAAAAAATTTCGTGGCATGTATCATTCTTAGTGGCATTGGTTCCAAATTTGGAAGGAGATCTTTCTTCAGATCCCCTTTCATTTACATATTGTTCTGGAAAATTCTAGCATGCTTCGTAATTACATTGGCTTCAGTTTTTTAAACTGGAGTATTACTCAATGTCTATTACTGGAGTATAACCATAATTTTAATGTTGCCGATTCTTCAGTTTGTTAATTCTTCATGCATACGATGATTTGGGGACCTTGTCTTATTTTAAGACCAAGTATGATGACTAGTGTGAACAAGAGGTAAAGGGAAAAACTGTCCAGAAGTTACATATCAAGGATATAGTTAGCTGTACAGCAAACCATTTGTTGTAGGGAATGAAAACAAGCTAAAATAACATTTGGCAGGAGCTCTAATTAGTCTTAGCCATTTTAATTATATTCCTTTAGATAAAGATAACTGAATACATAAAGTTTTGGGAACTTCCTGCATTGCTTAACTGTGTATGTTGAAATTATATATGATTATTTTGCATTTAATATCTGAAGGTAGTTGCATGATAAATTTTCAGATTTTGATGAGCAGCCCTGTAACTATACCAATCTACCCATTATAAATACTGTTCTGAGCAGAAAGAAACTAAACTACTGTTGGGTCTGTGTTTACCCAAGAGGAAATAAGCAGCTTTCTGGGATGAGTTGTGATTTTATAAATATAATGGAATTTATATTTTTAAAATCAGCTTTCAGAATAACTTTTGGTTATTTATTTCTGATCGGTCAGAATTAATGAGGGAAACTATCATCTACTTTTGTAGATTTATAATGTTTTGCATCTCAGAATTCCTTCAAGTATGTATAACTAAAGGAAAATGTGAGTAACTAGGGATTTTAAGCCTGAACAAATGTTGAAAGGCTAGCATAATAAAAGGGAGATTTGCCACCTTCAGCCTAACTCCAGATGGAAGGAGGCAGGTCAATGGACAGAAGTTACACAGAGATTATGTAGTAAATTTTAGATATAGCTTGTTAATATACTATACACAGCAATGAGTTGTCATAAGGACATGTAGTGAATGTTCTGTGCTGGACATTTTTAAAGAGAGGTTAAAGCCTGTCAGGAATATTTCATAAGGAGAGAAGAAAACCTGCACTAAATCAACACTAAATGGCTATTTGAAATATGAGTATCTGTAAATCTAATTTCTTCTCCATTCTTGATCTCATTTATGAGGTGTGATGCCTGCTGTGGTAATAGATTGTGTTAACAATTATATTGATGGTTGAGTGCTGACATGAAGTTTAACCCACTCTCTCTTCTTATTTTAATTGCATTTTTATCTATTCATTAATGAGATTGTGTTCACCTTCTTAGCAATGTTACTGCATCCTTTTTTTTTTTTTTTTTTTTTTTTTTTTTTTATAAAAGGAAGGAATATAAACCATCCGTAACACCGGTATTCTAGAACTCCTATTATAGGCAAGCATCAGAGGAGAGGCAAGGAGCAAGGTGTCAGAATTCATCATGTCACAGTGGCCTTGCTCTATCCCTTTTATTCTTTGATCTCTGTAGCCCTGTTGCCCAGATGACAGATCGTCCTGAAATGAGAAGTGCTGACCTCTCAGAAAAAAATAGCCAGAGATTATTCTAACAAATGACTACAAAATCTAAATTCCATTATAAACTCCTAACTCATCTCACAAAACAAAAAACAAAACAACAACAACAACAAAAAAAAAACATATGAATCAAATAAATGCTGCGTTTTGAAAGTCACTTATGGCTGAATTCAAGTTACTAGCAATATCTTTTGGCTATTACCTGGGCTCAACCATAATTCTTGGCAAAGATCACACAACCTTGTTTTAGGAATGAGGTCAGCAACACACCCTACGCTAGTGTGCTACTAGATCAACTTCCTAAATGAAACTCATAACCAAGAAGAAAGTTACAGTAGATGAGATACTGTAAATGAAAACAAAATTAGTGATAAGTAAGACTATTATAAAAACCAAGTCTAGCATTTCAAAGACTATTTAGTTTTAAGTAAGTTTTAAGACTTACTGAGGTCTCATTTCTTGACCAGAGTATCAGTATATGTAATATGTAATATGATTTTAGTAGGCTATGTGTAATGGGCATTCCAGTCTACCAGAAAAGATAAATAAGGTAGCATTGTTCCATGCTTTACATTTCACAGCCGCCTTTGTTACCTGGGTATGCCACATGTTAATCCCTAATTTATATTTAGTCAGTGAAATGTCATAAATTTTTTCCCCTAAATACTTTACGCATTTTCAATCTTTTCTTGAGAGTGAGCTAAACTTGGTCATATTGGCAATAACAGAACTGTTGTTTCCATCTGGCACTACTTTGTTTTGTCCTTGTGGGTCTTGGCCACAGAGACAACTACAAGGAAGGCCAGAGTCCTTCCAAGCATTTCCCTAGTCCCAGTATTTAAGGCCACATCAGTTATTTCAGGCTTAAAAACTCTTGTTTCTTGCCTTCAGCCTTTATTTTAAAACTGAGATAAAAACAACATTATCAAGAGACCCTCCTAAATGAAATGCTTTCCTTGCTCTAAAAATGCTCAATAAAACTGAGACTAACCACAACTCTGGCCCCCCAACACAGAATAATTATCATGCAGACCAGACTCTACTTAAAAAATTCTGCTTCAGGGCGGGCGCCTGGGTGGCTCAGTGGTTGAGCATCTGCCTTTGGCTCAAGTCATGATCCCAGTGTCCTAGGATCAAGTCCTGCATCAGGCTCTTCTCCCTCTGCCTTTCTCTCTCTCTCTCGCTCTCTCTCTCTGTCTCTCATGAATAAACAAATAAAATCTTAAAAAAAAACTCTTAGGTGCATCCTCTTCCAATTTTTGAACTTCTACATCAGTTGTGTGCAGGAAATATTTAGGTTTCATTTCTAATAAACAGCAACTTGATAGGAAGCATAAAATGAGCTCTTTCTGTACTCAAGGCATATGTAGTGTGTTAAGAGCAAGTCTGATAAACACTTGACTGAGGAGAGTTCTGTCAAGTGTTTTTGGGAAAGACAATAAAGTCTGCTGTTTCTGTCAGGGCACCACCTTATAACACCTGGTAGGGAAACCCTCCAATAAAGATGTGGGATGAAAGTCATCCCTCCAGGGGTTCTGTGGCCCAGGAACTGAAGCAAAGGGGAGATGTAGCAACTCGTAACATGCTTCAGCAGTTATAGCAGATAAATGAGGGTTCTCATTCCTCCAGTTCATTCCATTCCATTCCAGCAGTTCTCAGTCCTCCTGCCTTCTGATTGAAAGTTGATAAGAGTTGATTGAAGCTTTTCAGTTCTGCTTAATTTATAGCTACACTTGATTTCTCCCATCCGGGGTGGTGGTTGGAAAAGGATTATGGGGATTCTATTAAATTGTTTGCGGGCGCATTTCATGTTAATATTGAGGTCTGTGTAACTTTGACAACATTTTCTAGGTAACTTGGACATCTAGAACTGAATGGCCATCATGCATGCTCCCACTCTATGGGGCACAGCTCCCACTCTGTGGTCCAGCCAATTACAGCTTCGCTGTGGTTAATTATTAGAATAAAAAGTCTCGAAGTGTAATAAGCAATAGCTTGGGTTCCTGAATGTGCACCGAATGCCATGTTTATGAGTGCTCTCTCTCACAGGAGGGTAAAAAGGTGACTGTCAGGTTGTTCAGTAGTGGTGTAGTTAGGCATGGGTGCAATTGAAGCTGTTCTCAAAAACGAAATATTGAACTGAGGCCTTCATTGCGCATTCTACAAAATACAAAGAAAAAGGGTGGATCTGTATTTAAAGTGTTGGTGGTGGTATTGGCTTAGACATGTTCCCTTTATTGGGTCTGTTTTGTAAGCCTAAATTTGAGCCTGAAGAATTTCTCCATATAAATGTCTTAAGTATTGCAGTGACACATCCATCACCTGTTTGCTTTTGAATTACAAAGATAACCTTAAGATATGAGCCTTATACTGGGCAATGTGATACATACACAGAAAGGGTGAGCCTCCTTAGTGATGAAATCAGCCAATGCCCAAGAGGAAAGTAATAGGCAGAAAGGATGGAGTTGATGAGAAAATTGATTCTTTTCCATTAAACTGTACGTGATATGTTTTTTATGAAGCGGGCATCAGTTGAAAGAAATATTTTTTTCAGCTAAAAAGAGATTGATGGTGAGGAAGAGGAAAAGTATGTAAGGGATCAGGGGATAAATGTGTGTCTTATTCCATTACCTTCTCAAATAATAAGGTTGAAAAGCATTCCATTGTGGTTACTTCAAATGTTTACTTGGCCTTGGTGCTATTAAAACTTTTTTTTAACATTAATGGTCTTGTTTTTATTTTAGAGTACATTCAGACTTCACACGTCATTCTTTTCTCAGTTCTAAATGTTGTGGTGCTTATTTCCAGGTTTACCAAAGATGCAGGTCATTAAGAACTATACGGGAGCACCGCCCCCAGGTCTTCACGAAGGACCCGCATTGCATATCCAAGCAGGGGATACAGTTGAACTTCTGAGAGGAGATGCACACAGTCTGTTTTGGCAGGTACTATCCAGATCATGGTGGTTTTGTTTGTTCTTTTACTTGATGAATGACTTATTACTGCTAGGAGAATAAAGATCTTTCTTTAGAAACTGACTGCATATCTTGAGAAAGGTTAAATGAGGTGGGGGAAAAAGATTTCTTATTAGCCTTCCCATACTTACCAATGCCAAAGTGGTAGTGAACATTAGAACACTAAAGAAAAATAGGATCGGTGCTGTGAACCATAATTACCATTTTTATTAAAAATTCATACTTTGCCAGAGCATTTTTTCCAAACCTAGCGCCTGTGGGTATGATCTAATTTGCATTGCTTTAACATATTAACAGTTCATTCAGGGGAATTACCTAATTAGCTTGCCAACGGCCATTTCTGGCCATATTTGATTTGTGCCTACCCACAGAAATACCTGAAGTTCTCAGAGCTGCTGTGGGCATTATTCATGAAATGTACAAAATGTGAAAAGTGAGTGAGTGTGTTGATGTTTGCTAGTGATGAAATCTCTCTTGTCCAGTAAGCCTGTATTTGGTTTAAGGATTGTGTTAACGGTGAGCGATACGGCATGGGGTTAAGATTTGATAAAGCTGGATGGTAGACATTGCTGTTCACTAAGGCATTCTTTATTTTCATGTGTATGTTAGAAATATTTCCCCATAATGTTAGAATTTGTTAAAAATCTATTGTGTGTTGAGGGAAAAGGACATGGAAAGGGCTCAACAGAAAGATTGGTGCATAAGTGAAATTTGGTTCAGGGTGGAGAGAGCAGGGAAGAACTATTGGATGATAATCCATTGTGTACACATATAAAATGATAGTTATTTTGTTTGCTTAGAAGTATTTATGGTCTGCCATCTTCTTAGAGATGAGTGCCCCTAGACTGAACATTTATCTCCAAACACTGTAGGCAGTGCCATGGCCAATGAAGTTTTCCAAACTTCACTATTCTTCTTTAGTACATTACCCCTCTCAGACTTCACCCTTTCCAAAAACAGAAGAGGATGGCAGACTGAAATTCTGTGAACTCTTCAGTCCAGAATTTTATATAGTTCATCATATAGTACATATGCGATTTTGCATGGCTTCTTTACTCAACATAGTTATTTTGAGATTAAACCTTGTTGCTTTGTGTAAAATAGTTCTTGTTTTCTTAAAACCACTTTACTGATTATGTGATTGGCACACAAAAAGCTGTATACATTTAACATATGCAGCTGGACAGACTTGGAGATACGTATAAATCCTTGAAGCCATCACCACAATTTATGCCATAAACCTATCATTCATCTCCAAAAGTTTCCCCCATCTTACTTACTTCCTTACTTATTTTTGTGATAACATTTAAGATCTAGCCACTTTGCAGGCTCTTAAGTATATAACACAATATTATTAAATACAGACTGTGCTCTACGGTAGGTGGCTAGGACTTCCTCATCTTGCACAATTTGAGCTTTGTACCCTGGGACTAATATGCCCCATTTCTCCCTTCCACCAGCCCCTGGCAACCACCATTCTGTTCTGTAGTTCTATGACTTTGACTCTTTTAGATTTGTCACATAACTATAAGCAAGGCACAGAAGTAATGTAATGTCCTTCAGTGGACTAATGGATAAAGAAAGTGTGAGAGTGTGTGTGTGTGTGTGTGTGTGTGTGTGTGTGTGTGTGTGTATTCAGACTTCCAAAAGAAGGAAGTCCTGCCGTTTGCAAAAGTGTAAAAGAACTTGGAGGACAGTATGCTAAAAGAAAGAAGTTCTTTCTTGTTGTTGCTTATTATTATTCCGTGTATGGGTATGACACAATTTATCGTTTAGCTTGTTAGATGGACTTTTAGGTTATTACCAGTTTGGGACTATTACAGATGAACTTCTGTGAACTTTCACATGTAAGTCTTTACATGGACATATGCTTCATTTTTAGGTAAATACTGAAAGGAGAATGGGTAAATTATATATAGATACATGTTTAACTTTTTGAGAGATTACCAAACTGTTTTTCTAAAACATTTTATTGTTAAATTTCTACCAGGTGTAGAACCATGTGCTTATTTACCGTCCATACACCTTCACTGATGAAGTGCTTATTGAAAAATTTTGTCAAAATTCTTTTATGGGCTGTATGTTTTCTTATTATTTTGAGTTTTGAGAGTTCCTTATATATTTTGGGTACAAATTCTTTTTAAGATTTTTCTTTATTTATTTTAGAGGGAGAAAGGGCACACATGTGAATGGTGGGGAGGGCCAGAGGGAGAAGGAAAGGGAAGGAATCCCAAGCATACTCTCCACTGAGCACAGAGCCCAACGCAGGGTTCTATCTCAGGACCCTGAGATCATGACTTGAGGCAAAATCAAGAGTCAGACACTTAACTGACTGAGCCACCCAGGTGCCCCCTTGCGGAATGAGCCCTGGGTGTTATTCTGTATGTTGGCAAATTGAACACCAATAAAAAATAAATTAATTAAAAAATAAATAGATTATTTCTATTTTCTCCTAGCTTGTTGTCTGACATTTTATTATCTTAATAATGTTGTACATATAACAGAAGTTTTTACTTTGATGTAGTCCATTTTGTTAATTTGTTACTTTAAGGATCATGCATATGGACATTGTATTTCAGAAATATTTGCCTACGCCCCAAGGATACGAAGATATTTTCCTACATTCTCTTCTAGAAGTCTTTGTGGTTTTAGGCATTACATTTAGGTTTATAGTCCATTTTGAGTTATTTTTTAATATGTTTTCATTTTTTTCAAGTATGGTGTTCATTGTTTCACATAGAGATATCCTTGTGTTTTAGCACCATTTGTTGAAAAGACAGTCATTTCTCCACTGGATTGCCTCTGCACTTCTGTGGAATATCAGTTGTGCATGTATGTGTTGGTATATTTCTGGATTCTGTGTTCAGTTCCACTGATCTCTCTCCATCTTTAATACAGTACTAATTTGATTATTGCAAGCAAATAGTATCTTACAATCATATACATAGTGTTGGTCCTCCAAATTTTTTCTTTCCACAGGTGTTTTGGCTCTTCTAGGTGCTTTGTATTTCATGTGAATTTTGGGAGCATCTTATTAGTCTCACCAATTTTTATTGAGATTGTGTTAGATTATAGATCAGTATGAGAACACTGACATCTTAGTATTGAGTCTACTGACCATTGAACATGGTTTATCTCTCCATTTATTTAGGTTTTTAATTTCTCAGCAATGTTTTATAGTTGTCAGAGTGAAGGACATACACATCTTTTGTCATGTATCCTCAAATGTATCCTCAAATATTTCATATTTCATTTGATAATATTGTAAGTGGTGGTTTTAAAATACCAATTTCTGTTTATTGCTCCTAAATAGGAATATAATTGATTTTTATTCGTGGAAAAAAAATACAATTGATTTTTATAAATTAATCTTTTATCCTGCAACCTTGTTAAACTCACAGGAATTAAATCTTTTAAAAATCTGCTAGAATAATTCTAATTTAACTAATTATTTTTGAGAGAAAAAGGTATGCAAGTGGAGGGACAGACAGAAGGAGAGAGAGAAAGAATCTCAAACAGACTGTCCCCTGAGAATGGAGCCTGACACGGGGCTCGATCTCACTACTCTGAGATTATGACCTGAGCCAAAATCAAGAGTTGGACACTTAACCAACTGAGTCACCTAGGCACCCCAATACTAGCAGATTTTTAGAATATAGACAATCATGTTGTCAATGAGTAAACATTGTTGTTTCATTTTCTTGTAATGTCTTTTTTTTTTTATGTCTTTGTCCAGGTTTGGTAATAGTCTAACACTTAAAGAATTAATGGGGAACATTCGTTTCTTTTAAATTTTCTGAAAGCTTTTATAGAATCAGAATTATTTTTTTCCTGAAGTGTTTTGTAGAATGTTTAGGGAATCTGTCTAGGCTTAGAGATCCTTTGCAGGAAGATTTTTTTTTCCTTTTAATTACAGGTTCAGTATCCTTAGTGTATATATGGTTGTCCAGGTTATCGATTTCTTTTTGAGTGAACTTTGATAATTTTGGAGTAGACTTTATAGTAGTGTCATCTCTTGTTTCTGATACAGGTATTTTGTCTTTGCTTTTTTTTTTCTTGATCAATCTAATTAGTTGGTTATGAATTTTACTGATCTCATGTGAGGTTTTATTTCATTGGTTCTATTTTTTTCTTTCATGTGTCACTGATTTCTGCTCTGTTCTTTATCACTGCCTTCTTATTTGGGGTTTAATTTGTTCTTTTTCTAGTTTCTTAAGGTTCTCATTGGTCTGAGAATTCTCAGGCATTTAGTGCTATAAATTTCTAAGTACTACTTTTGCTGCCTCCTAAAAATTTTTTGATATGGATTGTATTTTTGTTTTTGTGTGTCTTGAAATACTTTCTAATATTTTTTTTTTCACTTTCTTATGGGTTATTTAGAAGTGCATTTAGTTTCCAAATATTTAGGGATTTCCCAGATATTTTTCTTTTTTTAATTTTTAATTTATTTCCATATCATAACAAAATATAGTTTGTATGACTTGAATAATTTTAACTTTATTAAGAATTATTTTATGGCCCAGAATATGGCATATCTTGATTGATGTTCTTTGTGCACTTGAAGATAATATGGGTTTGAGTTGTTTTCTTTTGTTTGTTTGTTTGTTTGTTTGTTTTTGCTTTTTTGGGTGGTGGGTAGGTTAGGATATTCTACAAATACCAATTATGTCAATGTAGTTGATAATGTCCAAATGTTCTGTATCCTTATTTATTAAGGATATAACCATCTATCTACTACACCACCCTCCTATATTAATGTTTACAATCTTTGTATGTTCTCCAATCCTTCCCCTCTCTCATCTCTCTCCACATCTCTTTTATCATCAAATGCTTCTCATTGTACCTTTTAAATCACTCTCAGTGTATATCTTCCTGTCTCTGTTGTCACAGCCTAGTTTTTAAGCAACTGTTACATGGTATCTGAGATCACTTCCTAACTAATCTCTTCACTTCCAGAATTCACTTAACCT